AATCAGAATACTCACAAAAGACTAGTGTCAGGCTTTGGTCATTAGGCTTAATAACCCAACAAAAAGCCCTGATCGAGACTGCGTAAATCCGTAAGCAAGTATGGTTGAGAAAATTAGATGTAAGCTTGTAAGTCCAGTTACGAGACCACTTGTCCAAACCTCTCATCAAGGGTCATTACTGGGAATTATGATAACTACTATAGCGGAGGATTTCGGACAAGGTGCCTTCATTTAAACCGCCCTGACAATATGCTCAAGTCACTAAAACGAGGCCAACCCACTTCTATTATATTTTGTTTAATTTATTTAGTCGACATTTCTTCATTACTCAAAACATGGCCTTCACTTCTACCTCATTCGTTCTCTTGACGATATTGATTACTGCTTACTGTAGGTGCCTTGCTGAGATTATTCGTCGCCAAGAGTTTGATTCCGTGTTCTCGCGATGGTGGAAAGTAGTTTCTTGCGATGCTAAATGCTTACGCTTGGAGGAACTTCGATTGCGACGTAAATTCGCCCGTCCTCTAAAACAGCATGTGCTCCACGCAATGTTTGGTCAGCTGGTCAGCACAAGCCTCCCACGATGGCAAGTAAGTGGACATTTTTTGTCTCCCATTTTCATCTATTCAAATAGCAACGGGTAGACAACAAATAGCATCATTTAGTTACTTTTATACTTCACTAGCAAACACATGGTTGCCTAGCCGTAGAGGTGAGTTAAGATAAGTTGATTTTACCTTGTGGCATACGCTTCATTAGGGTTTAATTTTTCTACACTCAGGTTTTGGTCTTCGAATTTATCTAAATGTTTTTTTGTATATTCTACAAATGATGGTTGTCATCAAACCTTTATAGGCAAAAACATACTTCACTTTTTCTTTATTAATTCCTTCCTGGTTTCATATATATATATGAACGCATATACGCGCATACGCATACACTTCGAGGTTGATATTTGATTGGAACTAACCAAATCAATTTATATCTCATCAAAAAGGTTAGATACAGACTATATATACAGCATTTAGAGATGGGCTGGTGAATTTCCTTGCTTCGTTAGGTTAAATATGGTTGTAAAAATAATCATCTTCCTGCTTTAATGAGGCCCGTCTTACGACAGACGAAAGCATAGCACGTTTTCACCGGAACTGAAAGAGATTACCTAGGAAACAGCGTTAACAAGATTCTTCCAGTGAAGCCAATCGACAGCTGGTCAAGAGGAATTCGCCATCGTCTTCTCATGGGATCTCTTCACCACACGCTTTCACTCAAAATAGAAGTAAGCTCAATAATTATTTTCTGAAACCTAAGAGTCCTCAAATTGTCTTCTTTACCGTTTTAAGTTAGTCTCCATCTCTTTTAGTATCGTGTAATCTGTTCTTTTAATGTCAACAGCTATGGCTCGAGTACGCACATATTATGTTTTATTCTACGGTGGTTCAAATCTATTCATTCAGCATTTATATGATACCAAATATAGTTGAGGACTTCTCTTGAAATCGACTAAAAGGCACGTCTTATATTCATTTTACTCACACGGACGTAATGTAATAAATCGCCAACAGCAATATGCATAATGTTAGTTTGATCTTGTCGGAACGTATCTAGTCCCGTGCCTTCTGCCATAGTATTCATGATTTTTAGCACGGGACCATGGACTTGGTACGTGCCAGAACGTTTCTCAGGCATCGTTAGCGCGAAGCGCAATCGTTAGCACAATTTATCAAAGTGACAAACTAGGACAATGCCTCTTGACAAATTTTCTGTTTAACTGTTTTGACATCACTCCTCTCCCTTATTTTTTTTCCACTTTATATGGCCTATCTACCCATTCATACCATTTTGTGCTCTTGTTTCTACCAGGGCCGCTGCGAGTGGATTTTGCGAGGCGTAATCATCTTTGTTACTGCTTTTAAATGCCGCTTCGAGGGGTTTGATTTTCATCTAGCCTCCCTTTCACCCCAGTTGTCAATAGCTCTGCTACAAATCGAAATCACTGTCTGGCTGTCTGAAATCTGACAAGTGTAGTGTAAATGGGGCTAGATGAAAATCAGAAACCCTGCAAGTGGCATTTGAAACCCGTGCTTAAGATGAGTACGCCTCACTATATCCACTTGTAACGATAAACTCATAGGCGGTTTTGGAGGATGCGAGAGGACAAAATGGTGTTAATAGGTAAATGGGCGATATGAAGTGGGATTGAGAGTTACTGAAGTGGCACTGGAAGCTAAAATAAAATAGGGACAATGAGTGGTGCCACTACGGTTTAATAGAAAATTGGTCAAGAGGATTGCCTTCACTTGCCGCTGATAAGTTGTAACTGTGCTAGCGATGACGCCTCCCACTGACGATGCTGACTACGATGCCAGGAAAACATTTGGCAATGTACCAAGTCGATGGTCCGATGTTGGAAATTACGGATAATATGGTAGAGGATGCAGGACTAGGTTATTTTGACAAGGTCTCACTGACGCTCCGCCAGAGTTGTGAAAACGAGGCCAAACCAACAATATACAGCTAAAGGAGACTACGACCTAAGAAAAAGCTACACCATCTTGGTCATATTAGCTATTGAATATGAATAGTCTGTATTTGCAGTGTATTATATAAGGAGCAAGAATATTAATTTTCTCATTGCTTTCAGAATTATTTTATCGCACACTAATTCATTTATAGCAAGTGTGATACTTTTTCAGCAAGAGACACAAACTTGTGCTCCGATGAATTTTTTGAAAACTGCTTTTCTGCTGTTTTTGCCACACGATTATCGCTGTCTTCATTCTCACACTAGTTCTGGCACGGTCTATCCACTTCTAGCTTCACTTGCATACATGTTTCCATCTCGTCTGGGAAGTGCTTGAGATACTTTGGCGTTAATCTCATGTATGAATTCCTGTTTTGCCTTTTCCGTTTATTCAGTTGGCGAAGCGCTGTCGATCTTTATCTGCTAATCGTCCAAACTACAGACACAGTGTGTGCACAGTCTCCGAACCCTACTCTCTTCTCGCCGGAGGCATGCCTCAAAATGTCGTCCATCCCGGCTATCCTTCGGCTGCGTACGGATTTTCTGTCACTTGCTCCCTTGCAGCTAATCATTCGCGCCAACATCGCCGAACCGCCCAAACTGGCCGCGGCCTGTTACCACCTCTGCTTGCTACTACGGATGGCGACGAAGATTCTGTCAACGAGACCGAGACCCAGGCTTCTCTTGTGACGACTGAGTCACCAGTTCGTTCTGAGCGAAGACTGCTCGGTAGAGACTACGGCGCAGGCAACCGGGGAAGTCGTGGTGGCCTCGTATCCGCTTCAGTTTCCGAGCCACAACTGACTCGGATTGACTCTCTGGCTCGAGTACCGTCCGGACGACTCACCGGGCATCGTAGGCCCCACCAAATGCATCTCCTTACTCGTCGCGTACATCGGCCAGTTTCCACCGGTCTTCGTGTAAGCAGTGGTGAGGCGGTGCCGGCTCCGGCAGTTGCTACGTTTACATCTTCGGGCGCTGCGACTTGTGCATCTGCAGCGACAGCGAAGAGGAAGCATCCAATGTTGCTTCTTCATTCATCGCCTGATCGCTGCGTCACGCGTAGTCCCTTCGAAGCGGACGAGGAGGGTGATGAAGATAAAGAAGCGGGGGATGAAGCAGAAGACGACGATGAGGGGGAGGAGGATGGAGACGAAGATGAAGAGGACGAGGAAGAGGAAGAGGAGGAAGAAGAAGAGGAATATTTAAGTCGAGATGTTGATATCACTGGATATTGTGAGGATTTATTCGCCGAAAGTGGTTCTGCCTCGAGTCTGAAGGCTTCTTCATCAGCCAAGAGGAGGGATGGGGCTTTGTCTACGGAATCTGTTCAAAAGGTGAGATTGAGGCCGCCCGCCAACCGCCTGCGAAGTCCACCTTCTACTGGAGCAGCCTCGCTTCTCTCACAGCCAGCCACTGCCGTCGGCTCTTCGGAACTGGCGCCTCCGTCGAAAATCGGACAGGTCCTCATTTCTCAGCTTCCGCCGCAGAAACGGCAGTCTCCAACAGCAATTGCCGCCACCTGCGTGGGTACTGAGGCTGTTAGTGGGGGTAGTATTCTCTCCTCCAGCTCAACAGGCCGGGGCGCTACGGCTGGAGCTAGAGCCGGAGACCTAGAGGCCTGGAGGTCTGGAGCCAGGACGAATGATTTCTTTATATCCGAGGACACTGAAGAAACGACTGCCCGTAGTCATGGCCTGATGGGCAGTAGTCAACTGCCAAGCATCAGTCGTGAAGATCTTCGTCAGCTGGCCTCCCGTCTACCCGAACACCTTGCCTCTATTCTACGCTCCGAGCTACAGCTTGCACCTGACGAGGCTGACTTTACTCAACCATCCGATGGCGTGGCTCCTTCCTATCCGTTCTCTCTTCTTGGGCCTGTAGCCAGTCGGATTTTCTCACGATACATTGCAGCCTCGAATCGATGCCAGCCAGTTGTGCCCGACATCCAGACGACCGTTTCTACCAGTATTGGCGCAAAAAGGGCATTATGCGAGGCCAGTACTTCAGCTGATTCCTCTTTCTTGCTTTCTATTCCTATTACCACTAATTCTGTGGCTACCAATACTTTTACTGATTATTCAGATGAGCAAGCAGAGTCGGCGTGTCAGACGACTGCTTTGAGTGCCTACGAGAAGGAGGCTACTACGAAGAATGTCCCTGACATTTGCTTACAACCTACTGAAGAGGTAGTGGGCGAAGAAAAGCAAGTTAATCCGGATTTAACTAAAGCAAGCCCAGATGCTCGATATCCAATCGAGGCTTCTTCCCAGACCTCGGAGACTGTTTCACGAACCCAACTTTCCTTTGTCAACCTGCCTAGTATACTGATTTCCCCAGGGTAGGCTTGAGTATAACGACTTTTTCTGAACAGCTTTTCATCACTACTTGGCATCGTTAGATTTGCTCATATGATTGTGGCTTGATACAGGTCGTATTCAAGACCGACTGGTTGTTTTCAAACCTACCTAATCCGAGTATATTATAGAGATTATGAGTATTGCGCATCCATCATTTCTGTATGAATTGTGCAATCTAACTTCACTTATCTCTTCACAGTATCATTATTAGCATTTGACTCATTAGCCTGTCCTTTTGGAGACGTCAATTCAATTCAATTCTATTTATTCACTCTATTTCGTTTAAGGTGAGGAAAGACTGCTTGTTGAATCTTCCCACAATGATATGATTAGAGCTGACGTTTTCATTAAATTTCACAAAGCCTTACTTTCCCTAAAGGTGTTATCATCCAGGATGGACTGCAAATTTATATTTGCTATGAAAATCGACTTATTCTTCGTTTATACATAGGGCTTCGAGACTACCAGTAAATCAGTTATGCGAGATGTATTCACCTTAATTGGTTTAGTGTTGAATTAATGGTAGCTGAATTTTCCTACAATGACACGAGTAGAGCTGACGTTTCCACAAAGGAGTTCTCATCCAGATTGGACTGCAGTGATATGAGAAAATTCCCAGCCTTGAACTTCACATATGCCCCGTGTCCCAAGGGTATTCGTGGCAATGTGGCGTAATGGCTAACGTGTTAAGATTACACGCCGCACTGCCATGGTTCGACTCTCCATTGGGATGTTGATAAGACCTATGCGAGGTCGAAACTGCAGTCCACCCTGGATGAGAACACCTTTTAAGAAAGCAAGCCTATGTGGATTTTAATTGAAAGCGTCAACTCTACTCATATCATTGTGGGAAAAATCAACTACCAGTCCTTAATCACCTTCAACTAAATAGGGTGAACACACCTCAGATATCAGTATTCTTTACCTTTCTTTTTTGACAGGAATATGCTTTATTCATTTCCACCGCTCAACTTTTCGTTCAGGCTTTTCATCATATTACGACTTATTGCGTCATCACTGTTTAATGCCTTTGAGATTTATACGACTGAAACAGATCTCTTGTCATGTGATACACATTTTTATTTGATCAGCGTACAGTTAGTCTTAATTGCAGGCAAATCCATGTTAATCGATGAAATATTAGAAACTTTTTCTCTCTCACGATTTACTTTGTATTAAATTTATTTTTACCTTTATTTACTTTATTTTGCTAAGTGCGCCCAAATAATCCTTAAACATTGTGCCGACACTGCTGTATCTTTTCTATTTTTTTATTTTCCTTGAACCAATTGTATTTTAGATTTGCGTAATCCTAAACTGAGTTAATTATCCTTAAATATCTTTTGCCACTTCTCATTATTCTTCTCTTCTCAGCATATCTACTCATTTTAGGCTTTTTCTTGGCTTGCCTTATTGCAACTCTGATCACATTATGCCACCTTAAGGCCTTGAAATATTTTCTTATGCCAGCATGTATGTTAATTCCTACATTTATTTCCGTTTTTCATTTCGAATCCTCATCATTCTTCCCCTTGAATGGGAAAAGCTGTTCGCCTTCACTAGTATCCCCTTCTGAACTTGCTCACGTCCAGGCCATCGGGGACTCAACCGACGCTATTTCTGTCGTTTCTTCAACACCTAATTATCATCAGGTCTGTTGGCATTCTTTATTGTATGTATCCCTTGTATTTTCCTTTTTATTTTAATTCGGCTAAATTCGATAAGACCAAACGGTAAACTTTGCTCACACGTGTTTAATATCCTTGAATCGGGGGAGTGTGGACGACCAATATTATCTGCTTCCTGCATGAGAGTAAAGCATAATATGAATTTATCTTCTTCAGCATCATACTATCTTAGATGCATCTCCATTGCCCTCCTATGGCTAGCATTCTTTTTCCTTCGAGTAGCCCAACTGCATAGTTGTTTGCTATATTCCAATGACTTTACTTATTTACCTTTAGCTCTTAATCACAGATTCTGTTCTTAAAAAGTTAATTGGATCATCCTGAATTATGTTGGTTTCATACTGTTTATGCCTCGTCCTCTAATCGCTTGAGACATATACTTTTGTATTCACAAACCGTACTCATACATCAATGAATTTAAAATGTTTTTTTCTAAAATGAATTTCAGAGCCTTTTTTATTATACTAGTCTTAATCCTGTACTATTAGTAAATCTGCTTTGCTACCGTGTAATTTCATTATAAGTTAGTTTCGTGTAGTCAGAACTGTCATCTCGCTTAAATGGGCGGGATGAAATGCATGATACTTTGGCCCCACCGGTAACCGAGGCAAGATTGCCTTGAAGTTGTCTTCTTGCATAGAATTTCAAGGAATTCTTGTGACTACGATGAATCTGTGCTCAGCTTTCGTCCTCCTCTTCGTGATATACATTGTCAGAGCTTGAAAACTCTACCAAAACTTCGCCAAGCACTAGGACAAAAAGGTGGCCGGCCACCTCGTATAGCGTAACTTTAATTACTCATCTCATGCATCCCTACATGCTTGTAGATGTAGGAAGTATCAGCGACTGAAGGTGAAAGTTGATCCAGGTGTGAGTGAACGTTTGTTTTCTCATTTAAATCATTTCCATTTCTGATCCTACATTGTTCACACACGTACTTATGCTTTTTTGAGCAAATTTGACCAATCATTATTTTTGGACCTACGCATTCTGGGGCCGTTTTGTGTGTTTGACCCTACAAATCTCCTCTACTACATGTGGATGTGGCTCTAAGATTCCTGGGATACCAAGAGCTTTATTACTTCCTCATTATGCATTGTCAAAATACTTAATTTCCTCAATAAATCAATTATCTTTACAAGAACTTACAAGACGGCAATATCACAATCCATCATAATCCAACCATCTTTCTTGCCACAAATGCATGCTTCCTCTCATTCTCTTCCCCTACTTTTAATTGCTGGCCAATTAACCCTAATGGATACTTGCTATAACGCAGACTTCTGATCATCACTTATTTATTACTTCCTACTTCAACCTCATAGGTGTAATATAATAAGAAAATTAAAGAGAAGCTAGCATTTCTGTTGATCAAATACTCATATCTATTTAATCTGGTTCCCTTATCAATACCTAAGGTTGTGATAGGGGGCACCCATAAAAGGTAGGTCACCATATTTTTATACCTCACTAGTAAAATAATTCGTGATATATATTCTATCAATATCCTTGGTTTAATCATCCATACTCTCTTTGCCATGTTACCAAACTAAAAATGTATCACCCATGCATCTAACCTATAATTTGGGAACTAAAATGTTTTTTTTGCATTAGACGACCATATAATTAAGCCATGTAGCTATTTGATTTAATTGGATACAAACCTTATACTGCTTAGCTAAAAACTGTGTTTGTAATATAATTTGTTGTTCAAAGTCTAATATATGCAGTTAAATTACTAAATTCGTTCATGTCTTAATTGACTCTTTATTTTAAATTTCAGTCATCAAAATCTCAGGGTGTTTACCTAATGTAAGAGATTTAGATAGTCTAGGTCGCTTAAGGTTATTTAAGCACTGGCAGTTTAAGTTCCCTCAATACATTAAGTGGGCCATTTAATTTCATTTATCCAAGCCTGCCAAAATGCTTTTTCATCCATGGTTGAATTCGAAAATGTCCTATCAGCACTTTCAGCGCGATTCCAAATCGGGCTGTAAGCATGAAGTAGTGCCGTAAAATGTATGCAATTACCATCTAACAACTGATTTCTCATCTTAATTACTTGTATTCTTTTTTCATGCAATACTGACACCGAAAACTCCACAAAACATTCTACTTTTTATTGTCTACACCTAAAAGAAGCTTGACCAACTAAGAATACTTGGTAATATTGGTTATTTTTTTCATCAAAGGGCATAATTTTATTTTTCTTAATTATAAAACTGACTAGATTATGATATACTATAGGATTAACTTTCAGTTACGTGATAAAATTCGGCCTATCATTAATAAAAAACTTAAAGATAATTCTGCTCTATGAACATAAGTAAATAAAACGAATTCAATTAAATTATCTAACTGTTACTTTCTATGTGTGAATGGAAAGGGTGTTTCTAAGGGACCCCTAACAAATTCATATTATTATTAGTGTTATTTCGACTTTGTTTTCGCAACTTGGTCGGAGCGTCAGGTATATCTTACGGAACATACCTAGTACTGTGTCTTCTGCCATAATATTCGTGATTTTCAGCATCGGACCATTTACTTTGTACATTCCCAAACGTTTCGCCGGCATCGTCAACGAAAGGTGCCATCATCAATACAGATTTACAACTTATCAAAACGACAAGTGAGGGCAATTCATTTGACCCATTTTCTTTTCAGCTTCTGTTGCATCACTCCTCGCCTCTATTTTTTGTTCTACCTTCTAGTCCTACACCTCTTTCCCTAAACTCCACTTGATATGAATTATCTACCTATTCACACAATTCTGTGCTCTCCTTTTCTCCACTGTTGCCTAAGAGTGAGTCGCTATAAGTGGGTTTAGTGAAGCGTGATCATTTCCACTACCGATACCAGGTGCCGTTTGCAGGGCTCCTGACCTTAATTTAGCGCCTTTTTTTAACCTCGTAGCATATGTGAGTTGGCACACAAGAGACTAGGGCATAGCAAGTCATAGCTTTGCTACTACGGGTAGAAGGAGGGTAGATGCAGCGGAGACGAGAACTGATTAGCTAACAATAGATGTGTTTCATCATAGATGTGGTCCATGAAGCAAATGCTTAGCGAAGAGAAGTTAGTCTCCCATCCAGTTTGCGAATCCTGATTTTTAGGGGCCTTCTAAGCGAAGCGGAAGTATGCGTGCTCCCAAATGCTAAGACAGTGTGGGAAATAACACTTCGAGTAGTACAGCTAGGGTGGCAGGACGGTAGGAGGCTGACCTGATGAGGCAAGAGGGAGACTCTGATAATGAAATGAGAGCCTATGGAAAGAGGGAGTGAGAAAGTCAGAGTGGGG